AAGGAGGAAAAGGACTAGAAAGAAGGAAAGCAAACGGAGGTAAAGACACTGGTTCAAGATTTCGTGCAGGTGACTGCCAGCAGGTGACTGCCTCTGGAGCAGGGCACTTATTCAGGCCAACAGTTGGCTCAATCTCTGACAAATGTACATGGAATCTCAGCTCATGGCTTATATCATCTTGACCACCTCATAGTAAGGATTCCAAAAAGGTACCTCTTGTTCTCAAAAACTTCAGAAATGAGAACACAGTTAATGCTGAAAAGGCCAGCCGTATTCTCCAACGGCTATATTCCAACTGCTAGTTCCTGATAGCCTATAAATACTCCTTCCGTACAAACCCGTCACACTTTCACTTTGCATTCTCTTTCTTTTCAATTCTAAAGCTCTCAACTCTCTCTTAATACTCTCAAAAGCCTTGTTCTTCACTACCTTTAATTCCTCACATACACACAATCTCCATACACAAATGGCCTCCCTTGTTCAAATCGCCAAAAACATATTCACCGGATCCATCCTAAACACTTCTAAGATTCTTGAGAAAGCAGAGAACAAGGATCTCATGAGGGAACTGCTCAAAAAGCTAGAAACAACAGGACTCATTAAAATGACCACCTACCCTTACCCCTGCTTCTACCCCGAGGTAGTAGCAGAGTTCTACATCAACTCCACAACTGAGACGCTGAAATCTGTAGTAATGGGGTTTGAGGTAGAGATAAAAGAGGAAGAGATAAAGGAACTGCTTTCTTTACCTGGGGACGAAGTCAGAGACGTTAATGACATTACCATTGACGAGCAAAACTTCAAAGACATGGTGTGTAACACCCCCATTTTTCCCACCCAAATAAAATCACATTTTTAAATGAAACCATCTTTATTATTAAACATATTTAGAATACAGCAGAAGTCTTTAAGGGAAAACAGGTGCATCACCGCCACACTCAACCTATACATGATTGAGTGCACAGGCTATCCACCATAAGTTCAAATAACAATGAAATAGGTCTTAGGACAAAGTTTGTGAATTACAAATTTAAACAACGATAATAAATCAAACGTGTGCAACTAGCGGAACACTCGGGCAGCAAGTACATCAATCTTCATAATCATAATCATCTGTACAATAGAGCAGAGAGAAGAAGACAAAAGAGACAAAAATTAGCTTTAGAGCTAAGTAAGATTCCACCCGAACCCGTAAAATAATATAATTTGGAAAATAGGTTTTGTATAGGTATATATATAGAAAATACCCTCTCATATCTCCAAAATAACTTCATGTCTCAAAATAATTTCTTCAATAGATAATGTCATTCCTCAATTCCTCCAAAAGTAATACTTTAGATTTCTTTTAAGAGTGGGCGAAACTCAAGATATCTCGAGCCCAACGAGTCGTTGTTATTTACGACTCATCCCGGAATTCCGGCTCCCACCGACCACCAATTTGGAAGCTGAATTTCTACCTTAAGAGTGCACACCCTCTAAAAGGGATTCCAAGCCCTTCGATTAGTAAGAAACCCAAGTAGGCAAAATGTTTTCTACCACCTACTCACAAGGGACATTGTCCAGGGGTAAATTAGGTAACTACTACTACGACCACCAAAGGACCTTTGATCCTCAAATAAAAGCCCGGGATGTCTACCGGAGCATGTCATTGCCGGACTGGTTACCGACCCAAATAAATTTCACCAAAAGTAGTAGTAGTCCTAATCACCCACGCCTCGTGTTTCTCTCGAGACGTAAAAGTATATTATGAAAAACTTTAAGTTTCTCCCAAAGTCATTCTTGTCACGCTTTCCAAAAAATATACTTTGTAATAAATATCAATCCACCAATATTCTTTAATAAAAAGAGTATACATTTAATAATCCATAATAAATAATAATCCACGAATATCCATACATTCAAAATATTCATTCCATGTCAAACAAATAGTTTCCAATTCATAAATAGTTCACATAGTTCAAATATTGCATACATATAAATACGAGATAAAACATTTTTGGTTGACATAGAACTTACCTTAAATTGCGATAATCCTCTTAATAAAATCTCTAGCTTGGTCTTCACTTGAATTCTCCTTCTAATATATATCAAAATTCTAAATCAATAACTATCCTATTATTTTTGTTATTTCCTATCTATTCAACTTTTAGTTATTTTAACTTCATTATTCCTTCTTTAAATACAACTTTTAATTTAGATCCATAAATCTTATTTAAATGTTAATTTTCAGTCCAACCTTATTATTTTCTTTAATCATACTAATCCCTCCATAATTTACTTTAATTTATTTGATTAATTAGTTAACTAGTCTAATTATATTAACTACATAATAATTTAGTTATTTCAAATTTAAATAATCAATTTAGTTCAAAATTCAGTTTACATAATTTATATAATTTATTTAATAAACCTTTTAATAATAATTTGACGTAAGCAATAATTCGAAATAATAATCATTAATTATAATCTAATCTCAATAACAACTTTAATTAGTTCAATAGTTTATTTATACTAACTAACCCAATTAAATTAATTAATTCAATCCCCCAGTTTTATTTATTTGATTCACTAATTTAATTGAACTAACTAAATCAAATAAATAAGTTTAATTATATCAATATAGCTAAATACATTAATCTAATTCAATTAAGGCCAATAATCAAATTCTAATTCCGTTTTAATTTTCTATTTTTAATATAAAGTCCAAAAATATTACTACGTCCATAATTTAACTAATTTATCCATTAAACTAATTGATTTAGTTAAACTAGTTCAATGAAGTCAATTAACTTAATTATTAAGTACACATTACTTAATTAATTTGTTTATATTAATCAACTAAGTTTTATGAGTTCAAATAGTTTAATAATTTATATGGAGTCCAAATCAATAATAATCAAGGATAATAATTATTAATTTAATCACACTAATTTAATTAGTCCACTAATTCATTAATTTATTTATTAAGTCCAAATATAGTCATTCATTTACGCTAGCTATCCCAACTTTATTTTCTTTTCCTTATTTTATTCCAAACATCATTTTAGTCCAGAATATTATTTTCAATCTTAGTGATTTTATTTATTTCACCATTTTTATTCAAATTTTCTTATTTAATTACTTAACTAGTTTTATATGGCCTAATTAAATTAAATAGCTTAAGAAATGACTTTATAAATTTATAACCGTCCATAACTATATTTTGGGTCTATATTTGACCTAGGTTGTCTAGATATTTATTTTAGAATTATTTCCCTTATTTATTCATTTAATTTGATATATCTATTAACCGGTTTAATCACAATTAAATATACTACTCATAAGTTTTATTAAATATAAATGGTCCCACATGTCCTAGTTAGTCATATATTTAATCTAGTTTACTCCAATAATTATTTCATAATTTATTTCGTCATTTAGTTAATTATTTACTAAATATGTACAAATTGGCCCAATTACAATTAAATCAATTAAAAATAGTTAAAAATATTATTTTTGAATTCCGATTGGTCCGAATATGTATATTTATACTAGGTATCTAATTTATATTTTTCCAGATTTTATTAATTTCATTTACTATTTTATTTTTAATTTTTATTGAAAATGGGCCGAACCGGCCCAAAAACGCGACCCAACCAGAGAAGACTGGGTTGCCTTTTTCCCAGATTTCTCCAGGTCGCGATTCCGGCGACCGGAAATCGGGAAACTTCGGCGAGTGATATCTTTATTTACAGGTAATGGATTTCGACGATTCAAATTGCAAAATGATCCTGACGGCGAGACGAAGCTCCTCCACCCCTATCTACGACCAAATGTCTGCTTTTTCTGAAGACTCGTTTGCACGGCTTGACACTACGGCGACGTCTAAGCAACTCCGGTGACTATGAATCGGTCTGGAATTTATTGGGAAGTATTCCTAGACCTCTCACGACCCTCCTCTATCGTTTTTACGAAGTTTGATACGTAAAATAATATAGATATAAATTTTCCGGCGAGATTATGTATATATATGTATATGTATATATAGCATCTATCTCTCTGATTTGCAGTGTTTGGGATGGCTAAGAGGGTGTATTTATATATAGGTCTAGATGGTCCTTGTGGTTTATTTTATTTATTTGATAATTGTATGAATAATAATAATAATAACAACAACAACAACAACAACAACAACAACAATAATAATAATAATAATAATAATGTATATGATAGGTTGGTAGTTGACGAACATGGCATGTGTATTGATTCATGATTTGATTCCCATTTATGTTGATGTTTAATTTTATTTTATTTTATTTTAATTTTTACATATAAATATATATAATTATATATGTAAAATATGTACATAATGTATATACATTATTTGGTAGGTGATCCTAGCATGTGTCATTGTTTTATGATATGATATTTTCATTTATTAATTTGATGCTATTATTAGTAATTTTTAATATTCTTACTATTATTTATTTATTTATTTATTTATTTATTTATTCCGTCATCTATATTTTATCTGATTTATTTCTATTTTATTTTTATTTTATTTTTTCGATGCCACATAAGTGTTTAATTTTATTGCATGTAGCATGCATATATTTTTTCACACCAAGTATAATACAAAATATTTTTATATTACTTTCATTTGATTTATCAGATATAACTTATCTGATTTATTTATTTATTTATTTTTATTTCAAATTTTCAAGGTATCACATTCTACCCTCCTTAAAGAATGCTTCATCCTCGAAGCATAAACTAAGACGAGAATTAAGTATGAAGATGAAGTATTACAAGTTTATAAGATGTTACATCTTTCCCCCCTAAAAGAAAGGTTACGTCCTCGTAACCCAATATTTACCTTAGTTGAACAGTCCAGGATACCGTTTACGCATATCCTCTTATGTCTCCCATGTTGCATTCTCAGTCAAATGGTTTGACCAAAGTACTTTTACCATCTTAACTTTCTTCTTCCTCGTCTCTCGGGTTTTAGTATCAAGGATCTGTACGGGTTTTTCTTCGTAGGATAACGCCTCATCCATTTCAATCACCTAATAATATAAGGGTTAACTTATATTATTTCCAGTTTACTTTGGTTCATGTTAAGTTTAGGGTTTGTTAGTCCCTGTTTCTGTAACAGCAATGAATAATCGATCTAACAAGGAAGATTAAACGTAAAGATGAACACAGAATGAATCACCGTAAAACCTTCTTTGATAAACCGTGGAACGTACAGCAGAATGATATAAGCGTAAGGCTATGAATAATAAGTACGACGTTCAACCTTTTCCTAAACCTCGGGTCCCTTTTATAGGCGAGGTTTAGGTTAGGCGTATCAGGCTTTTGGCCTGTTTAAATGGGCCTAACACTTGGCCTGATTTCTATCTAATTTATGCACTATTTAAATACAAGGATTAAATATAAAGCTAATCTATGACCAACTTGATTCACAATTAAATATCTTCAACAATCTCCCCCTTTGTGATCAAGTTCCATTCTCTTATTGCTTCTGTGATTTGAAGTAGTGCTTTCTCAATCCAAGTGCATGTTCATACTGCCTCAGCATATTTCTCTTTTCGAGGCGATCGTCAATGGCCTTTAAAATTGTCTCTACAGTAGAGTGTTCCTTTTGAACATAAGACGATGCCTCTTGAAGATTTTCCTCTAGCTTTGCCTTCATCTGTAGAATTTGCTCTCTGATTATCTTCAGTGTTCCGTCACAGTACTTCTCGATTTCACTGACTACCATCAGACGCTTTTCGTTCTTGTGGTTCTGATAGGTGACTGCTGGCGGTTTGAAGAAGATGTGGTAGGCTGGGAAATCTTCAAGTTCTGGACCATACAGTTTTGGCTTCGTCAGATTTGTCTTCTTCAGATTGCATTCAATAGCCATCTGTAGGTCATGTGAAGAGTGTACTCTGATCTGTCTAAGCATGAATCTCTTGATAGCTGCGAGGCCTTCGCTGTATACTATGCTCTGCCTGACTGGAAGGTATCTGTAGGCCATGAGCATTTGGTAGATGTCATCCGGTTTCAGCATGATGAAGTCGTTCTCTTGACAAGTGAATTCGCTCCCATCGGTGCGTTGAAGTCTGAAAGTGTAGAATGTTACTCCATGATAGTCTTCAGCCTTCACTTGTAGAATTTGATGAATCGGGAGAATATTCGACTTCAGATCTTGTTCCATTAGTTCTCTCTGTGTACCGGTTGACCTTTGCAGCAACATATGCAGATGACCTCCAGCCTGCTTTCCTTTCAAGTGAGTAAGGCCTCTTAGCTTCAGTTCGTTCAGTGGCTTGACTTTGTCTGGTCTACGCTAGATATGCTCTCTGATTTCTTCTTGGAAGGGGGCTTTGATACGAACATTATCCCAGGGTTTCTCTGTCTTGGGAAGTCTTCCCGCTGTTTGTCTTACGACCGATTCAAGAGCTTTCTGGGATTCCTTGTAGTTCTCCCCTTCCTTGCGTTCATCGTCCTCGAGCCGTATAATATCTTCAGAGCATTTGTTGATCAGCTCTCGTAGCCACCAGTTTCTTTGCATGTCTTCTTGCTCGGCTTCAACCCGGAGATCATCCCATTCTGTCCATTTTCTCGGCCATTTGTCGTATATCACCGCCTCTTCCAGTGCATCATGGATGTCTTTGCCTGGGGAAATATACGGAGTTCTTTGTTCAGGCGGTGATTGTTCCTGTGTAGCACTACCGGGTTCACTAGGATTGCCCGTTGACATCATCTTAGAACTGGGTTCCAACTGATGGCCTGATGGAGAAGATGTACCAGTGGTAACATCATCAGGACTTCCATCCCCTCCTCGGTTGGTATCTCTGGGAGATACGCCTCGGGATGTTATTTCTAGCTCGACCGTGCTAGATAGTTTAGCTGTGGATGGTGGTTGTTGGTTTGTCGAGGTTTCGGGTTGGATGGGCTGTGGAGTTTGGCTTGGTAGAGCAGTTTGCTCAAGTGATCGAGGTCGCTTGTTCTCCCCCTCATGAGGATCCGAATCATCGGGGTCCTCATGGGAACGTTTGCGACCACGAAGACTCTCCTTGCAAGTACTCTTGGTTTCAGGTGAGGAAAGAAGAGCTTCTAGTATGGCTTGCTGATGAAGAGTGAGGTTGTCTTCTGGGGTATTTAAGAGATTGTTCAGCAAAGCCGAAGCTAGTGTGTCAAAGGATAGGGAGGAGAGATCGATGGAGGGTGTGGTCGGGTGTGGGGAGAATACTGGTTCTGTATTCTGGGTTCCCCGAGAAATAGAAGGGATGGGAATTTGGTTTATGGATTGGTGGGATAGAGGGGTGGAGGATATGGGTTGTGTATGGGAGATAAACGGTTCAGGGGAAGGTTGGGGTGGTGTCTGTTCAGACCGAACCGCTTGGGTGGTCCTAAATTCCTGTGCTAGAGCGGTCATTGCATCTTGCACCCATGGTTTAATGGTGGAATCTAGGAAGCGAGTTAGTAGAACGTTTACGTCTTCAAAGGTAGGGTGACCAGTTACGGGGGTTGTAACTGTTGACACAACATCAGTGAAGATTGCTGATGTGTGGCCTGCATTTAATGATGGAATCATTATGGGCGTAGCAGGGCTTCCAACCGTCATAGCTTGCGCTCTGGTTGTTGCGTTCAGGGTGAGTGCACCTGTATGTGCTGTGAATAGTGTAGGTGTCCTAGAAAAGGAAGAAAATGTGGGAAATGTGACACCTAGACTCGATGTGAGAGAAGAAGGGGTTTTGACCTCGGGAGATAGGTCAATTGTATGCTCAACTGATTCAGAAGGAACCAGCGAGGGGGTTGAGTCCCGTTCTTTTGAAACAATAGCCTTTTGAGAGGCAATTGAGTGGCTGGGAGAGGGCTGTGCATGCGCAGTTGAGCCAGATGCTGCGACTTCTACTCGGGAACCGAAAAGATCGGCTCCTGTGCTTAAGGATTCAGCTCGGCTTATCTGGATAAAGGAGTCGCAGCCAGAGAAGATGTGCTCGTCTGCCTTATCAAACAGACTTTTTCTGGCTTGGGGCTGGGTCTTAGCCTTGGTAGCCTTGTCATTTTTGACCTTAGCCCTGGTCTCTCGGATGACAACTTCTTCCTGGTTGATTGATGTCTTGATGGAGTGAGCTGCCTCGTCGTAATCATCCTTGGAGCAATTAGTCTCGCTCGGATCAGCTCTTGGTTTAGCTTTTTCTTTTATGGTGAAGACTTGAGGTCTGCGAGCTATTATTGGTGCTGCGTCTTCAGCAGTAATTCTTCTCTTCTTCGGAGATTCGACGGGCAGCTTCCCTTTTCTGATCAGTGCATATGTGAGCTCCACATCATCACTATCATTGTCATCACCGTCATCATCTGAGTCCGATTTTTCACTCTCCGTGCCCACGCTCTCGGAAGCCTTGTCGTCAGTGTTTGTTTGGGCTCCACTAGACGATTCACTGGCCGTTTCCTCAGCGTCTTCTTCGGTGCCCTCAGCCGCCTGACTCGTCTCTAGAGAGTCGTCATACTTCCCTTCATTGGGCAAACCGGCCACTGGTTTCTGTGGCTTTTGGGCTCTCTTAGGACCCTTACTTACACTCGGCTTTGTCCCTTGGGTAGGTCCAGCTGGGTTTTGCTGAACCATAGGGACGGTTTTTTCGGTGGCTTCTTTGTATTGTTGGACTGCTGGATTTGAAGATTTTACCAGCTTTAGCAGAAATCCAGGTATCTTCAGACCATAAGAAGGATTCTTGTCTGCTTTGAAGTACTGCAGTTTCGGTGCTGTGAAGTGAGGATCTGTACTGCGTCTTGGTATTGTTGAATGCTCTGCCATGAGGTCGTTGATGATCAACCCAAGCCACCTAGCGTACGGAATGGTACCTGGCCTATTATTTTCTTTGGCCTTGACCAGGTCCATTAGCTCTGAGTAGAAGAGCTGAGCCAGATCGTAGTTCTTGTTGAACGCGATGCCATGAAAGATTAGCAGGATCTGCTTGTTGCATTTGTCAAACCCGGCATGCTTCGGTGACAGACACTTGTTCACTAGCCCGAAGAGATTTTTCCACGGGTGACGGAGATATGCACCGTTGAAATTTGAGAGCTGTGGTAGTAGTGATGTGTAGCCAAGGGATGCCACGTCTTTGAGCAGATCAGGGATGGACGGCAGTGCATCGTATTCGTCATGTATCGGCAGCGATAGAGTAGTCCGTAGAGTGGATGGTGTCAGAATCACCCGCATGCTGTTCAACTTGGTCTTGATCTTGGAATGATCCTTCAATGAATCAGTATGCATGTGGCCCCAAAATTGTTGTAGGTATATCTCTGGCACTGGTTTGGCGTTGTGAAGTGCAGGCCAGAGATAGTGACCTTTCATTATGGCCGGAATGATCGGATTCTGGCACTTGAAAACGGTGAGGTCTAGCTGGAAGTTGTTGTCCAGCACCTTGATCCACTTTCCCTTGGGGTAGATGACGTCGTCAATCTGTGTTTGAGTGTTTCCTGCCATTTTAAACTGTAAAAGCAGGGGGTCAGCACATGAAGTTCAACTGTTTGATTTGATTGAAAGAGTTTGATTTGCAGTTGTCAGTTAAGTTCATACAGGTGGAGTTTTGAAAAAATTTCTAAGTCCAGATCTCGAAATCTGAATCTCGAGATTATGATTTCGAGATCCAAATCTCGAGATCTTGATTTCGAGATTCAAATCTCGAGATCTTGATTTCGAGATTCAAATCTCGAGATCAAGATGTCGAGATGCAGATCTCGAGATCTTGATTTCGAGATTCAAATCTCGAGATCAAGATGTCGAGATGCAGATCTCGAGATCTTGATTTCGAGATTCAAATCTCGAGATCAAGATGTCGAGATGCAGATCTCGAGATCTTGATTTCGAGATTCAAATCTCGAGATCAAGATGTCGAGATGAAGATCTCGAGATCTTGATTTCGAGATTCAAATCTCGAGATCAAGATGTCGAGATGAAGATCTCGAGATCTCGATTTCGAGAAGATGAACCGACGATTTCGAAGAGATTTAAACCACCTGCAAAAACATAAACAGATATAGTAAACATGAACACAATAGGATTGCGACATAC